TTGCATCGTGGTTTTTATAAATAATTTAAAAGATCCAGTAAACTCTGCTAGGCTGATCTTAGACTAGACCCGGAATTTCTTCTAAGCAAAAAAAAAGAAGAAAAGCAATTACATTACTGGCAAATGTTGTGTTGTGATTTCAATAGTTTGATGATTTCAAAGGTTAAATCTACTTATTTCACTGGCTCACGCAAGTTCTTTTAAACTTTTGGTCAACTGGCATAGTATGTATGCATACAAAAACAGAATATATTTATGTGCAACACTAAACATATATCACGAATGTATACGAAATAGCTTTTCATAGATATATGTTATTTTCTTCTAGTTTTTAATAATAAATTTTGCTACAAACGACAGTGAATATATAAAGCAACGTATTTGTTTGAATTTTGAATAAGATTATTGTAACACCACAAAAAAAAAAAAACAACGCAAAGAGTAGTCTAAGTTTTCTGTTAAAAAAGTTGGAAAATTAATGCTATAACAATTTATATTATACGATGTTAATTGTAGGAACGTTAAACGCTTATCATTTTTAAAGTGTAAGTACTGCAATTAAATAAAATATCATCGTTACGAGTTATGTGAGTATTCATAACACAAAAAAGTAATAAGCGTAAATTGGTTTATATATATGTATATATTTTGGTTTAAAATACCGAGATTGTGATAAAATGTAATAATAAGAAAATAAAATAACATTAAACAGTGTTATCTAGTCTAAAAGATAGTAGTCTTTAACATTTTGGAATAGATATGTATAAATTAAAATCAGCCTCTTGCAAAAGTATCTATTTAAAATTTGTAATGGCTTGTAAGATAAACAAATTTTTTTAATATCATTTGTGGTAATGGAGTTAATTGTGTACACTAAAAAATGGATAGTTGTTTTAACACCACTTCTGGTCGCAATCATCTCAATTGCACGTATATTTTTACTTAAGACTAGTAGCGGAGTGTCAATATCAATGACATTTTTGAGCTTATTTCCAGATAACAATCTAAAATAATCATGTTATAAGAATATCAAATTCTTAATAAAAATAGTATTTCAATATCTCTAGAGGATTATACTTGATTCTAAAATGTATTATGGTAACGTTACTGGAAAAATAGTTGGCCGCAAATTTAACGTTCTTAGAATATATTGTAATATTTTGAAAATATTTCATATCTATTTGTTTTGAAATATTTTATATCTCATATTTTCCTACTGCTATTTTTATACATTAAAATTTCGATATCATCATTTGATCACATCATAATAATAACTTATGTTTCAGATATTTTTAAATATTTAAAATTTAATAAATAGTTGACGTTTAATGAATGTAAACATTTCAGTATTGTTAATAGGGTCGTTTTGAGAATAGTATTTATAGTGAAATTAATTCAGTTTAAAATATTTAATTTAATAACAAAAGGATTCAAATTAAACATTGATATGTTAAATTTTAAACAAAATTAGTGGTTGTTATTTTTACTCTAATATAGCAATAATTTTAAGACATGATTGTAAATAAATTAAACACAGTTACAATACTTTTGGGCATCAACACGTATTTTTATAATAACTATAGATGTTAAAATTGTTATTCCAAATTAGTTCAATTATAATATTTGAATATCAAATAATATCTCTGTTAATAAATATTTCGTACATAATATCGGTATTCATACCGATTTTAAAACCCCTGTGTTTCATTAGGAAACAAATTGATTTTTTTTTTTGTTTCAAAACACTTATTCATAATAGTAGCATGGTTAAAATAAAAACTTACTCCATAAGATTTATATGAAATAATGTTTGATATGTTGAATTTGACCACAACTCAAAATGTTTTAAAATTTTAAAATTCAATAGCAATTATTAAAATATTAGTAATGTGTGATTATTATAAAATTGTATTTGTATGCATTGAATTACAAAGAAAATTTAATTCTTCATAAATTTTATCAAGTTTATACATAAGCATTGTATCTATTGTAAAATAATAATGACAGTTAAATACAGGAACTTTTGTAAGACGGTATAACATGTGTTAATTATAAAATGAACTGTTTTTGACAGCTAACTGGTTACAACACAAAATCTCAAAGGACATTAGAGAATAAGTTTTATTACTCGACTTCTTTGCCGACTAAATAACTGGGACTTGACTGTAATGTATTTATGCTAATAACTCCTATTATAATCGCCCATAATAGATGGTATTAAGGTTTTATAGCATAGGATTTTGTGAATGTACTTTACGAGCAAAAAGACATAGGATTATTATTTTATAAGCACAGATGAAATTTCCAACAATGTAATTAGCGTTGTCGAATAAGCAAAAAAATTAAGAATGGCCTATAAAAGAACAGTAAATTTCAATAACTTGTTTTAACTATTACGTGAGTATAAAAAACAATTGTTTAATATTTTTATTTTGAAGTATATCAGATGACTTTAATTTTTCTAGTGCTGTTGTTACGCCAGGAAAATTATTTTCTTTGTTCATTTACATTGAAAACTGTATGGATTATTATTTAGTTGAAATATATACTTTAAATTTAATACTTATACATACTAAAATTCAATTCAAAATATTTAAATAGTACAAAAGTTATAGTTTTTATACTTGTTTAAAATATTTAATGTCTAAAATAACATGGCAATCCATGAAAGTTTCAACACATTCATAAAATAAGTATGTTAAAGTATATCGTATTATTTAAGGAGTGTAAAAATTATTTTTCCCGTCATTTTTTTTCATCCATCTTTTTACAAATAAAACTATGAATAGTAATATTTGTAAAGGAAGTTTTAAAATTATATTGTAGAGTCAATTCATGCCGAATCATCCAGAACTGGTTGCAGGACCACCTCATTTTATTTTTTAAATTTGCAGGGTTTATTCTTTATTCTGTAATGTCGTAATAAACTCGTTACTACCATAACATGGGATATTTATACATTATATTCTTAGAAAGAAATAATCCTTTTCAAACAAATATAATTAAAATAAACATTTAACACACACACATTGTTTAATTATATTATAATACGCACAATTATATCATAAATTGATTAATAGTCACTTTGAAAATCGTTCCTTTGAAAATAAATCTATAAATTATTTTTATCATCTTTGTTATTCTGATTTTAATAATTAAATACATTGAATCAAAACAAATCTTACTTGTAAAAATCTATGTTAATGATACATATAGAATGTCAAAATGATTTATATACTCCATTCATCTGTAATAATTTCTGTATTTTATGCTTATTTATCAATAAACAGTTATACTGTAAGAGTTAGACAATTTTCGGGGGTAAAAATATTATAAAAAGGCAGAACAAATCTTTATTTCGTGCTCTAGATACCGTTACGCGAATATTGCAATCATCATTGTCAAAGTTCTCACGTAATAAAATTGTGAACTAATTTGATTTGTATTATTTTATTATTAATTCTTGATTGACATTGTTATTTAAGATATTATAAGAACCAGGAAATTTATCAGGTAAGATTTTAAAAATCAATATGAGTCTAAATTTATGTTATTTCATAACCCTTGAATCACAAGTAACTCTCACTCTTACTCTAACACTCTCAATTTTATACAACTCTCATTCTAATTCTTTTTTTTTCTTTTTAATTTTATTTTTTGCTAATCTTTGAGTTACGATAGTAATTAGATTAAAACAATATTTTTTTTATGACCTTCCCATATTTATGACTATTTCAAATGTAAAAATGTTAAAAACAGCCTGAACGTTAAAAAACTCACAGATTATTCAATATTAAGTTAATGAAATTTAAATTTTAGAATTAACCTTATTATAACTAAAAGATTACATTGAAAAAAAAAAAAAAATTATGTGAAATTCTAAACTTACATGACTTTTTAAAAATGGCGACTTCCTGTGTAATTGGCGTATTTGAGCTCAATTAAAACCATTAAGATGTTATTATTTTATAGTGATTTTTAAATATGATATTTTATCATGTATAATCTATGTTTCTACTAAATTTCAAATATTTAAAACAATTTTTTCGGATTTCGAGGCCTAAAAAGTTAGAAATTTTATAAAAAATACACGTATTCTAGGTGATTTATTTTTGTATGAGACCTAATTTCAATTTTTTTTTTAATTTTCTAGTTATATACACTTTATGTATATGTTTAATACACTCTAAAAATATAAACTTTGAGAAAAAGTGTAACATTTAAAATATAGAATTTTCCCCAGTACCAAGAATAGTTTTATACAATTTAAATATCATATTAAGACTCATTCATTTAAAAAAAAACCCAACCCAACATAAATTAACAACTCCATTTGTAAAAAAATGTATTATTTTAGTAACGGTCCTTCGAGTCAATACAAAAAACTAGACATGTAAGGTAAACAAAATATAGAACTTTCTGAAAATTATTTCTTATAGATACTTAGCACTTCAATCATGAAAACCATAATTATTTTTGTAACATTTAAATTTTTGTTATTTTACAATATTTATTTTTATTTAATCCAAATTTCTATTAATTCGACTGGTTTTTTTACTGTATGCCAAAACTTTTGACAGCTTCAACTAACCTAACTTTTTCCTAGTTTGATGGCTTAAAAATATATTTCTACAGTATCTCACCACCAATTTATGTTTAAAAATATTGACTTTCGAAATAATTATTAACTTCTTTAATATAAGTGATATTTTATTAGTTCGCATGATATTTTTTATTTATAAATAGCTAATAATTATCTATTAACTTGAATTTTTTAATTATTTAAATACATTCCCAAGTTAGACATTTTATATAATTTTATAATAATAATTAATTTTTTTATTATGAACATAGTTCTTTAAAAATTCAATGTTTGACCATCTCTTAATTTAATATTTAAATATCATAAAATCATAAAAATACTAAATCAAGTTGTCAAGGATTATTTAATATGGATACACTAATGTTTATTTTCAAATACATATTAGTTTGTTGTTGAATTTGGTCGAAAAGAGCTAGTTTTCATGCTTATATACTATTACTGACAGACACAATAAATTGTGAAAAAAGTATTTTGATACATTGATTTTTTGCAAATAATCACATTACAATGAATGTAAAAAGATTCTTTCGTCTGTTGGCAAGAGTCTTCACGTGTTCTTTCTCCAAAAAGGAGCGTAATATAAATGGTATAGTATCTTAGCTTAATCTAGCCCAGGTATTTTTTTAATGAAACTTAGCTTAACACGATAGACAACAAAAATTCTCTCGGTATCTAGCGTTTTAACACGTACAGAGAATTAATACACTCATTCATTTGAACGTATGAATGTAGTATAGATTTATATAATCAGTATTAAACAATTCTTTAATAATTTTAATAAAAATTAACTATAATTAGTCTAATTATTGTTGAGATGATAAATATTATTGCAAACTAATATGTTATTAATTAGAAGGCATGGAGTGTTATTTAAATAAAGTTAGTAATCATGAAATGAAATCTGACACAATGCAGAACGAGTATTTAAAAACTAAAATCACGGCGGAGTTAGAAGATGTGACAAAAGAGAAAGTAGATATTGAAGATAATAAGCCTAAAAATATTCTTAAGGGATGTGATAAGTTAGAAGAAAATGTTCATGAACTGAATATGACAGAGCCTAAAATAATAGTTATAGAAAGAGCAGCCTTCGTGGAAACTTGTAGCCTTAAAGAAGGTATTATATGCTTCATTGAAAAAAAAAAGAAATTTTGGCAAGATCATTATAGATAATGGGGAATGTTATAAATTCTATAAAGTAAGCATATTATTTTATTGTCTTAACTATAATATGACAAAACTAATAATCAACATTTTGAGATTTTATTTTGGTTTTATATATATTTATAACATTTACAATTATTGTAACAACTATAATCTTGAAATATATTAAGATTTTTATTCTTAAAAAATATTTTATCTTTTTCGGGGGATAATAAAGAATAAAAAAAAAATTCTATTTAAAGCTATATAAAATAGTGTATTATGGTATTCCTCAAAAATATCGAGATAATCAGGTTGGCACAGAGGCGAACATATATTGATTAAATAGATCCTAAAATTTACAATTATCTTTTTTTCAGAAAAATTTAAATGTAAGTTATAATCGTCGTTTTAGTTATCCACAAAAAGTGAAGTTTGTTGTGGATGATTCAGAGCCCAAATTGGCCTATGAAGTAGCAATAATTGGAGACCCTTATATCCAACGGTGATAAAAAATGATTGAACAGCAAAAATAATCAAATTAATATTGTTTTTTTTATCGACAGGTGTTATTATTGCTTAATGGACGATCACCTTGATTTAGAGAACTGTATGCAGTTACAGTTAGATTCTTATAATTTTTACTATTCTTATATATAATATATTCAGTTAATGCTTCAATTAAATGTATAAGTACTTAAAATTATTAATAAAAATTATGTGTTATAAAGTTAAAACTTAAGTGTTAATGTATTGTTATAATATTCTATGTTATTGCTAATTTATGATCAATATATTGTCATTAATTGAAGATTCTTTTGATTAACATTTTTAAAATAATAAATATAGATATATTTATGTTAAAAAAACATATTTTTCAAGAGGAGGAAAAAATAGATTTTCTATAAATTATAAATGTGATCTATATTTCAACCAATTTTAGAAAAAATTATATATATTACTATTTTGAATATGTAACTCAATGTTTTAACGATAGTTGTACAAACTTAAAACAAAAAATTGTGACATACACCGATCCTTTTGGAAGATATTGTCATCGCCAAAATAATTCATATCTTGCTAACGAAAAAAAAAAGTAGCACAGTGGAGTTGCGGCACATTATGGACAAGGCATAGTTGGAACAAATATAAATGGTATCTGACAGTTATCATAAAATCACTATCATAAAAAACGCTTCGATGCAAATCAGTAGATAGTGTTTAATTCTTAGAAATTTCGGCTCTCGGTTCTCTGACAGCTGAGAAAAAGTAGTGACAGACACAAAAAATAAACACATCATGGAAAAATTAATACCTCCTCAGCTTTGCATCGAAGCTAAAAAATTATCTTTATTAATCTGTGTTATCGTGAAAAAGCTATCAATTAGTTATTTATAGAACACACGCATGAAAAAAAAATGTTTTTCCGGCGATCAATAAATGACAACAGAGTTAATTTCGTTTATAGGTAGGTAAATCATAATGAAAAATATCATGTCTCCATTGTACACACGACCGACGTTAGCTACAGAAGACCGCTGTTTGTGATCTACTGAAGTAGATTACATTATCGCAGAATCATTGTATCGTCTGTGGGAAAATTCTGGACTGAATCCATACATTCTGTCTATACCGATGGCATTTGATGGTTCTATAGAACTACGATAATCCAGACGAACGAACATCGCAATAATGGTTTGTAATAATCGAAATGCGGTGCCCGTCATATTTAGACAGCAAATCATATAAACTATTCTAAAAAAAAAGCAGGAGGGCGAATGTCAAATAATATGTTTTTATTTTCGCGTCCCTGGTGTTTATAATTATTTATCAGACTCAAACGTTGAGATTCAAACGTTATTTGTATATCATTTAGACTTCAAACAATTGTGTAAAAAAGACACGGTAAGAAATTATCCGAAAATTCCCATGAGTAAGTATGATATTTTTGAATTCATGTAAATTTTACACTCGAGTACTGCAAGTTTGATATAATTTATCGAAAATTTATACGCAAATTATGTTGTATGCATTGAAAACTTCCATTGCGAGTAATGGGAAATTTTTTTTTAAGATGTATATATTTCTGCAAAACTACCACGTACGAATGTCGTTACTTTATTAATATTATACTTCGCTGTATTTATTTTACGTGATGAATTCGCACGCGTAACCAACAAACCTTTTTAAATTATTAACTATGGGATATTGGCTTTATGTTGTTTGTTTTTTTTTTTCACTAGCAAAATAATTACAATTGTTCAGCAATAATTTACAGCTTGCTAACATTTTTTTTTTTGTCAGAGCAATGTATATTTGATCTTGGAAATACGGTCTAAATAACCGTATTCGTGGGAAGATAGAACACGTTTTTTGAACACTTCTAAAGAAATATTTAGTCAAAGTAGAACGAATAAAATATTTTAGATACAGTAACAGAAAATTTCAAACAAACCATCGTTACTTGGCACCATTAATGTTGTATTCAAAACTACTTGAAAATCAATGTAATTATTTAAACAATCATAAAAAACGTAATATGCATATATGTACGCTGGATATGATCCATATAAAATGAATTCATTAAAAACTTATTAGTTGTGTAAAACACATCTAATCCTATTAAGATTTAAACTACTTATTTATTTTCTCCCATTTTCGATTTAAAGGCGCTTACAGTATGCAAAATAGATGCAGTTGTGTTAACGGTAAATAATTAGTGTCTATCCTACAAAATATACTTGATCCTTTAACTTGTTAGAAAACAATATGATTATACTCATGAAATTATAAGTAATTTATAATTATTCTTACACAATATAATTTTATAATTTTACAACGGCAGTTATTATCGTCGTCAAAACATTGCTGAGAGTAATCGTCGACTACTGTTTGAAGAGTATAAATATTTAATTAAAATGTATTTTTATCTTTCCCAGTATGGCGACAGTGTTTTGCTTTTAGGTTGATCAAAGTTGGAGAAAATTAATAAAGCAGTATTATTAACACATTAACAACTTATCACGTAAGGAAAAGCTCTCTTAAGTTTCTGATGTAATAACAACACTGTTCTAACAAAAGCGCGTGTAGATACTAAGTAATATATATGCATATAAACTCAGCTTGACACATTATCGTACGTTAGAATTGCCGTGTATTTGTTTATGTGTATTTACATTTTCTCGTACACTTATATAAAATGATAATATTATTTTACTTGCAAATAGTCTAAACCACATCTGTTGCTTAACGTGTAACGGGTGCGCGTGTAATACGAATTGATTCAGAGATTCGACAGAATCTCGGCTGGTTCCGACTAGATCACAGTCATTGTAACCTTAGCAAGTCTTGTGGTCTGCATAACAATGGACTAGCATTTTTCCTGTTCAAATGCCAAAGAAAAATAACGAAATTACTAAAGTTTTAATATCTTGTTTGATATCTAAATAAATGTAAATTATGTATCAGTCAATGTTTTTGGATAAATATAACTTTTTTTCGTTTAAAAATATAAAATGAAAAACTCGTTGAAAATTATTCTGTAAATTCGTTGTCTTATTTATAACTGCAAATAGTAGAGACGCTATTTCATACCAGTCTCTATTTACGTTTAATGGTATTTTGTTTAGAGAAAATCATTTGAGTATCAATTATTTCAAACCGTAATCCATAAAGAATGTATTTGTTAAGTAAGTAGTTCATAATACTAACATAAAAAATGTTAAAGTATCTAATGGTCGTTATAATTGATTCCTATTTAATTACATTGAACATTTAAAAATTAATACTATTCATTTTAATTTCGATTATTGATCATTTTAATTAATAACTTTAAAAATTAAAATCAATAAAAAAAAATTTTAACATTAAAAGTTTGTCATCTTTACATGGAAACAGAATTTGACACATAACTACTAACAATTTATTTTTTAGAATTTCAAAATATTTAACATGATTTACGATAATATTTTAATAAATATATAATAATTTAGTGGGAATCATATAAATTTAATTAGAGTATTTAAAAGGAAACTATATGACAAATAAATTTCTTTAAAATTGATCAAATTTTCACTTTTAAAAGTTTTGTATAGCCATATTTGTTTTTGTAAAAAATGATATTATATATATATACCATTAAATTGTTTTAAATTATTTGCAATATACTATCTAAAAAAAAAAAAAAATGTAATTACCGCAAAAAATAATACAAGCTTTTTTCTAATGATATAAAGTGTGTACTTTGTGCATTTTAATTAATTTATTAAATTTTCTTAAATAATGTAATATTCATAAAAAGTGGTCTTTTTAATCTCATTAAAAAATTCATTATTCGTTGTTTAAATTTATCAAATTTGTTTTAAAAATAAATAATCATTTTTTAGACGAAATTTACAAATTCTCTGTTATATGTTTATAGTATGCTTCATTTGGATCGTATAATTTCAAAAATTTTGCATAATCAATGGGATGCTCTGTTTTGTAATCTTTTATTCCTTTGCTTAAGAATATTTTTTGTTCATTGGTACATACGCTGCACTTGTCTTTCATGAAATTAAATAGTTTTTCTAAAATAAACATTTTTTAAAATTAAAATTAACAAAAACAAACCTTAAATATAGCGTGAATAATTTTACAATTTTTTTCATACTTCTAGATAAATGGTTTTTTAATAATATAATTTTTAATTTTAATAATTAAAAAAAGGTTAAATTTTATCGTATGTAGTAAAAATAATAAAAAATTAACGTTTTACTTTTTTTTCTGGTTAAGACTGATATTTCCTCTTAAACTTTTACGATAGAAAAATGAGTCATATAAAACGCAATAATAAAAATAATATTGTTGATGTTATTGTTAATTAAATATTTTGTTAATAATTTTTTATATCACAAAAAAAAATCAATTTGTTTTAAAATGATCAAAATATATGTGAACTCTTAATACTTGAAAAATATAGAATAATTTAATTTAGGAGTAATTATTATTTTATTTAAGAATCATTTTGTACTATTTAAAAAAATTAATTTAGAAATAAAGAAGAATGATTAGAATTAGTAAGAAAAGAATTTTTTTTACTTTTAAATTCACCAAGACGTGGATTTGCACAAGGACTTTCATTCAAGAAGCATTTCATATGTAGTTCCATTGCACTTTTTATTTCATATTTTAGTATGTTTGCATAATGAGTTTTTAATTCCTCGGCACTTATTATATCAGTATTATTAGAACCATTTGCTGGAGCTGATGATGTTAAAATAAACAGTTGAAAAAGGGCGCACAGTATTACATACGATTTCATTTTTATTTAAGTGATTATATTCGAACGGTTTTTACTTTCGAGTGTATCGTTTTAAAATTAACTTACAACTACGTATGGAAAGGTAACATTTTGTTTTATATACCTTTCCTTCTTTTAATTCAAGGCAAGTATTTAATAAACATTCAATATAACAATGTAATTAGATATGGAGTCCAAATCTTTTCGGAAGGGCAGCATAAATAATTTGAATAATAAATAAGAATACATTATAATTATTATATTAAATATTAATTATTACATAAATATTTTAATTTATTAAAATATAGTTCATATAAACATGGCTCATGAAATATTAAAATTTAAACTACTCTAACTAATTAAAATCTATTGTTTTGCTACAGTGTAATTAAATTTACACGGTTAAAAAATTCACTTAAGGTGGGTGAGATATCAAGGTTATGATACTATGATTTTTTTCTGACTTTTGTGAATGATTTTAAATTTAAAATTTGCATGAGAACTTTTTCAATATCTAACCTAATAGCATGCATTTTTCAATTGTCTAATACTTTTTTTAAGGGACAAAATAAAGATTTACCAATAAATTGAATTTTTTCGTGATTATGTAACTAGAGAAGGCATTGATTTTGTGATAGTGTATGTTTTTATATCAATCCATGAAAATTCTCTGCTCTCACTGGACCGATTTTAATAATCAATACGTCAAAAGGACCAGATTATAATATTATTTAACTACTCAGTGCCAAAATTACGATACCGTAAAAAATAGCATTTTCAAACATTTTTTCTTGCATTTTAAAACTGATTGATAACTGTATGATAGAAGAAATTTTAGCTTCAATGTGAAATTAAGTAATATATATTAATTTTACTATGATGTATTTTTTTTTTTTGTGTGATTGACTTTTATTTGTGTCAGTTTCTCTTAGACCTATTTGTACATGCCAAAAGATCAAAAATCGTATCCAATTGAAAACATTACACACAAAAATAAAAAAAAAATCACTAATTCACCTTAAACGCAGTAGGACCCTAAAAAAATTACGATTTTTACTATCGGTAAGTTTCAAAAATTTTTTGGCTTACTTTACTTAATTTTAACCATTATAACTTTTTAAAAAATTTTTTTTATTAAGGTTAATACCTATGGAATTTCCTTTAATTAGGTATATTGTTTTTTGAAATTTAATCTTTTACCTGCCCACATAGAGGGATTCCAAATAGCAACTTTTATCCACGAAAAGTTAATTTATCCAACTTAGCTATTGGAAATTTGTTGCAGGAGATCGGTTAAAAATACACATTGCTTTTTTTTGAAAACAATAACGAAAACCATAAAAACAACAACAAAAATTACAAAAACAAACAGGAAACAAGCTAAATTGCTAGTATAGCTCCAACCTCGGTCCTGTAACTATTACTACTGGAGATGAACTCTACGATAAGTACATATATATATGTAACATTTTGAAGTTTGTTAAATTTAAATTTTTTTGGTACCAAATGTTAGTTCATATTATGTAAAAAACGGAACTAAATATTACCTTATTATTCTATTTATTTGCGACAGTACGTGATATCTTTGATTAAACTTTTTTTTGCCTTTTAATTTAAAATTACAATATTAGCAAAAGTTGTAGAAGTCGTTGATTTTTTTTTGCTTATCAAATTTAAGTTAATAAGAGAAAGCCAATAAATTAATAGCTAAAGTTAATCCGTTTTTTTTTTTTCAAAAAATTAAATATAAAGTTAAGTAAACAAAATATTTAATTTACATAATTTTTTCTCGATTCTCACTAGATCGATTTTAATGACATAATCATAGTAACATAAACTAGATTTCATTAGGCCATTATTATTCACTAAATATAGGTAATATATTTATGATATTTTTAAAATTTTTGAGACACACGTTACAAATTTAAAGGAAACCCCAAGAAAAATATAGTTTTATTGACCCCGTATATTATAATATATGTATACATGTATACTATACTATGTTATAGATAGATATAGAATAGCTATTTTAAATATTTTACCTGATAAAATTGTAGAAGATGTTAAATCAATTAATATAAAGAAAAAAAATTATTTTGAACTTGATTATTTTAAATTAAATATAATGCATGTTATAGCATAAAAGTTTACTAACGAATAATGTTAAAGGAATTTTAACAATAAGATCCTAATTGCTTCTTTATAACTGCAGTAATAGCTTCGGTATAGTTTTATTTTTATCTAAAAGCGAGTATATTTTTAAAAGTACAATAATTGTTTTAATTTTGCTTTGTTGAAAGACTTATCCGAAATTGTCGAAATGATTGTTGTAAAATTGTTTTAATAGCTTTATTGCATGTTTCACAATGAAATGTATGATGCATCACATCAAAAGCTTATCCAACTTTTGTTTCAATTATAACATTTCCAGTTACGTGTTGTTTTATTTTAGAGATTTTTTTTCATTTAGTGCGATTGTTGTTTTGTTCAATTTATCAACAGATCCTCTGACTTTTTCTATAATCTTGATGCATTATGTTTGGTCACCAGTGAATATAAAACAGGGAATGTTACAAAATAAAAACATAAATAATCTGTGACCCTTTATAACCCCTTCAGACAAATCATATTAATAATGTTTTTATTTTGTCCGAATACTTTATTTTTTTTATCAACCCTAGGTACGCTCAATTTGACAATATTAAGCAATGCGTTTTTCTATTTACTTTCCAAAACAGTTAAAGTATTTTTTTATATGAACAATTCTCCAATGTCATCCCAGTAAAAGCTCACATCCTCAATAGTTCCTTTATAAAAATATACGTGATTCCAATTTGAATATTGTAACCTTTGAGATCTTGACATTTAAATATTATTATTGTTTTACTTTCCTATCGATAAAAAGATAAATTATGTCCAATTTCATATAAAATTTCCGTTCGCAGACAATTGCGTTTAGATTATATAATCTGAGGAGTTACAATATCGTTGATCACTAGCAGTTTCAATTTACTTTTGATTTTTAACATTAACAATCCGCCGACTTAAATTAATTAATAATAACAGTACGCTAAGTCAAGTTTAAGTGATGTTAAATTATTAATGTTTGTTATTATAAATAATAATAAAAAAATTTATTTATTGCTATATTTGTTTCTATTGAAAAATCGTTCAAACGAGGACTTTGTTTTTTTTTTGCATCATCTCTTCGTCGTTATTACAAAAATATGATGAACAAACATAAATATGTGATTAAATATCAGAAGAATCAACATATATTATTTATTAATAATTTATAGAAAAAAAAATCAAGCGCTAGTGCAAAACACTGTAATGTCTCATTAATAAAAAGTGTTTTACAGTAATAATTGAAAAAATAGTATTGGAATTCTTATCGATTGCGAAGTAATAAATTCCAATTAAATTGAAATTCATTCAATTAATTATATCGTAAAAAACAAAATATTTGTCTAAGTTTTCTTTTTACTTATTTTATTAGGTGTATAAAATATTTAGTTTTATGTTTGAATTATTTTTTTTAATAGTTTGTTCAGCATTATTTTTTTCGACGGGCGACATTCGAACCTCGTATACCAAGTTTGTAAGTATGCCGCATAACTGGCGCGGCATCGCAATTATATTCGTACTATTGTCCTAAAGGGAGTTTGTTATGATAGTGAAATATGCTTAGTTAATTATGAAAACTACGTTAACCAAAGCTTACGTGTTTGAAATGTTAATTTATATTTATGTGTTGACGAGAAGTAAAAATGTTTATAGTGAAAAAAAAGAGTGAGATCTAAAGAAAAAAAGTCATGAGCCGTTCAATTATGGTATTATAATCGACTGGATACGCATGTTTTTGGCACATTCGATAATTTTAGTCGATCAATCACTGAACGAGATGATTTACCGGCACAATGCAATTTCAGTTATTCTCAACCTGTAAGACGACAAACTTTTCTAAAAAGTATTCCATTTGCTTGAAACGTTTTCGGATGTATCCACGAAAGCCTTAACACGTTCATAAGTATTCCATTTTTAGAAGCATTTATGAACAAACAGTGGCTGAATCTGTTAAATCGCACGATTGTCAGCTATGACATCAGTAAAACCCTAAATTAAATAATCAACGGCTTTTCCTTTGGCATTCATTCAGACGTAACCACAGGCCGGTCACAAACACACGTTCAAGTTATATTTGGGGTACAGAAAAGTTTCTAGTTTGCAGACACAGTGCAGTCACAGACCACACTAACGTTCATAAATCTCATCCTTATGTTCACCGGGAAACGACTTATGCAAATTAACTGTACGAGAATATAGTGACTTTATACGCGTCTAGGTAGTGTCGGCTGCTGTTTTATAGTGATTTATTGTTTTTCTGTTATTCGTGCAATGTTAACCGTTCAGCTCGCAAAATTGTTATCATCAATATGAACATGATAAAATGTGTTTAAAATATACAAATATGCGCTCAGTATGGGTTATTCTGTGATTATTTTATCAACGATATCAATTTGATTATTAAAAAGATATCACGTTGTTGTATAAATTATAAGTTGTATTTTCATATTTATTTGTTTTATAATTTTTCTATCCTCATAATGTATATTGTTAAAATTGGTTATAACGTATTTTTTAATTATTTTAAATATTATTTGATTTAATGTGACTCTAAACAATACGGCCAAACTATATAATATGTTTCGCTATCCGTATGAAAACAATTTTTTATTATGATTATCATTTCAAACGATTTGTTTGTTTTAATTATTAGTACTCAATTAGAGATTACAAAATAAACTTTATTATTTTATAGTTCAAAATATTGTAAATTATTATTTACTTAATATTAAAAATAATTGAAACTTCAAATAAAAATGTGAATAAATAAATGAATTATTAATAATAGTAATAATGATTATAAATACTATGAAATATTTTACAAGATTTGTGTAGAATGAATTTATTTTCTTTATTTAACTAGCCAAAGAAAAATTGTTTATTTTATTCAATTCGTTAAAAATTATTATACTTGTTTAAACCAAACATAATATTATTTGTTATTCTAAAAGTAAACAAGTAAATTTTCAAAAATTACTTATAAAAAATAACTATTATGTTTATAATCTATTTGATAGCTGTTGAATGGCTTTGTGAGTATCATATTACTTCGTAAAATTTATATAAGTCTTTAGTAAGTAATGAAACGCGTTTCCATTGTTCTCGTTGTTTGTTATCTGTTTCCTTACTTATTGAACACCCTGTAAATTAATTAGAACATACATTTTTACAATCGCACAATACTTTGATCATACATATGTGTATATTGTTTAATACACTCAACCACGTCCTATAGCTAAAAATAAATTGAATAATTTTTTTAATTTAAAAAGTAGACATTGTACAGCTATTTGAATTGAAATAGCATAGAGCCAATAGCAATGATAAACGTATTATTATACAGAAAAAATAATATTATTTTGAAAATTAAAAATTGACTTCTTATTATACTTTTAAAAATAATTTTTAGAAATGCTTAAGTATTTATCCACCAAAACCTACTTTAAGAGGATTTATATTTATTTGTGTTAAACAAAAACAAATATTTATTTTTCATTATATTTATAAAAATATTTTCTAAGGTGAATTTAGTAACAAACTGTTTTTTTATGTTTCAAGATTTTTCTATTTCATTATTGGCATTCAAAATATTCTATATTCTAGTACTATTTCCTTATTTGGACAGCTGACATTAACCGGGTCTCAACATATCCATATTATTCATATTGACCAGACAAGGGTAAATAATTTATGATATTTTCCTAACAATAGTTGTGCCAAATTTCTACCGATCCTTTTTTTTTTTTTATTTTTTTTTTTTTGACTATATAAATTGAAAAAATATATATCTTTTCCGGGTTTAATATCATCTCATTCATAGTCATAAAGATGTTTAAATCCTTGCCAAGTTTTAAAATAGAAATAATGCTATGCATAATATCGTATTTATTATTTATAAATTAAAAACAGAATGTTTTGTGTATTAAAGGTAATAATTGATATATTACAAGTGTATTGCTAAAAAAGGAAGTCAGTTATTTATGTTAAGCGGGAAAAATTAATGTTATTAATTCAAACATTTTTATAAAAATTATATTTCATGATTAATTATTTATATAAGCATTTTAACATCATATTGAAATCAAAGGAGACCATCGATTTATTAAAATAATTTATGCAAAAAAAATAATAAGTATATTAATAACTATAAATTATTTTAGCTCCACACGTTACATGAAATCAAAATTGTTTTGTCAAATAATTACATCTCAGATAATTTTTACGCTGTTTTTATTTTTTATTGGAGTGGGTACTATTGATTTTATGGCTAAAACTGTAAAACAGTAAGAATAAATAAACGACACTAATGTTGGCGTGTTAACTCGGTCCTTTGATAGTTTTGTGTAGACAGGCACACGGTACAAGTAGGTAATATGGTTCGTTTACTTTAAACACTTGTCGTGCTCAGGAATGACGACCGTACTGTAACTACGTTTTATAATGCTGAGGTAATAGGACCGAGAAAAAACAACAGTTTCCTTTTGAAAATGCCGGCAGCAGGTTTGCACCGTGTCACCGGAGTAGAGGGCAGAGAGGAAAAAAATAAAATGTAATTTTGACGATTGACACAGGGCAAACTCGACGGCGGGTTCATTTTAAAAATTGCTGTGTACAACTACAGTCGTAAATTATCGGTTTTAGTTAGGAAAACGACGTGCTTGTCGGGCGGAACGCGACATTTTTACGCGTATTCCTCGGTCCTCTTTCGTCACGGCGTTTTTAATACAAAAACTTTTACGTCATCCTCCGTTGTTCTTACAAAAAGATCCTCTTTATACATTTGTTGAACACATCCGCAGGGAGAGAATGTGACGAACAAGTAATTTAGATTGGAATTCTAACGACCGGCAAACGTTTCGTGCGCTTTTTATCGCTGATTTTTTCAAGACTCTGTGGAGTTATAAGCATTCTCCAGTTTAATTAAAACACACACACAAATGCATGCACTTTATTGCGTTGATTTGGGATGCCGTACTGAGTTTCCTTTCCGATGGCCATAATAGCCAGCGAATTTCGTTACAAAACCCATCGTTAGCTTCTACTGCCGATTAACACCTGCTGGCGACTAATTTTTGCGCAAACATCGAATTCTGTTACTACATTGCAATTTTTAGCAAACGGCCCGTCTAGTATTTTAATATTTAACAACGGCCAAAGAAATAAAAGCTAATTCGTTATTGACAAGAGACAATGACCATATTTGGCATATTTATGAGGTAATTGACCTTAAATTCGTAAGCCGTTTTTAAACAGCCATTACATGACAGTTAAATAAATCCCATTTTTTTTTTCACATCAACGACTGTCAATGTTATCCGTCGTCGCTGCTTTTAACCTCTGCTAATTGATTTATCAAGGGCAATTTATGCATATTCCATTGTAATAAAAAAAAATTCAGAATCATGCACTAATTAATGATAAGCAATTAAGTCTTGACGAAANTCACATCAACGACTGTCAATGTTATCCGTCGTCGCTGCTTTTAACCTCTGCTAATTGATTTATCAAGAGCAATTTATGCATATTCCATTGTAATAAAAAAAAATTCAGAATCATGCACTAATTAATGATAAGCAATTAAGTCTTGACGAAATAGTGTACCCAGACGATTCTATTGACACTCAACTAATTCAATTTATATGCGAATGACTGTCACTTAAATGATTTTGTGTCAATTACGATCGTACATAACGATGTTCTCACTTTTTATAAAATAAATAACTTTTTTTAGTTCTCACGGAACTAATTAACTATATGAACAAGATGTTTACAATTTTTCAAGGATATTAAACATAATGTATTTTATTAGATATCTATTTTCTTATACGGCTCTAGAAATTATTTCAAATAAAACGAAATTCTTGAATTAAGATTTTTTACTTTCAACATATACCTTAACCTCTTGATTGCAGTATTATTTTATAATGCATTTTTTTTTTTTTTTGGTAATTAACTTTTAATATAATTTGGGTATAAAAGAAATTGCGAAAATTCTGTAAATTAAGTGTACATAAATATATTTTAGGAAATAGCCTTCAATATCGAATTGTATTTTTATATATTTCAACAAGTGTCAACTATTTCAATATTCATTTTATTATTCCATATATTATGATAGTTATATATTTATGAGCTGAAATATGACTATTTTTATTATTTTTTTGACATAATAAAAATGCAATACATTAAAATTAATAAATATGTATATACAATATTGAATACTCGAGCATAACGGTATTTTTAAAGAATAGAGTAAAAAACAAAAGTTTAATGGATTTAGAATAGCATAACGTAAAAAAATTTGAAATTTTTTATTATATGTTGTTTAAATACTCCCCAAATTATTTACAATTTTTAATTTAAATGATAAAAAGCTGATTTTTGATTTTTTATACAACAATTCCATAAGTATAAAACGTTTTTACTCTTATTGTGAATAATAAATGGTATCAAATTTCACATAGTAACTGAAAAAATGCAGTAGTTAAAGTACAAGTTTACATTACGGCTAAAAAACTATCATAAAAACGATATCTCATCAAAAATAATAATTAAAGCTGCGGATATTTTCAGGAATTTTTATTTTAGGAACAGTTAGTAATTATTGTTTTATAAATAAAGAATCACACTAATTTATATAATTAGGTAAATAATTTAAAGGAAATGTGTTTAATATCAATTATGAGCTTAATAAAATTGTTGCTGATTTTAAAGCTTAACTATTTAAATATTTGAAACAGAAGACTTTGAAGCAATTATATCAAGTTTCATAGATAAGTACTAATTTTAGCTAAAGTTTCCACAGACAAATATAAAATATAATTATACAAATGAAACATAAAACACACTTGCCTCTTGATCCAATATGCAAAATACCCAGATAAAATTACAAACGCTCACTCTTTTTAAATTATGAATAATATTTAAAGGTTACGTTAAAAAAAAAAAAATTACAATTATTTTATCTTTTAAATCACATATTATGTAATACATATAAGCTGTGACACGTAAAGCTCTGACTTATTAACCCAAACCTTTAAATTAATGCAAGTAAAACCATAACAGACAAACTCACGAAATAAACTTTTTTGGGGTTAAACCGTTAACGGTTAAACTGTTAACTTAAACTATAGTAATTATAGTTATTGTTATCAGCTTAACCCAAAGGGAATAATGATTTTATACGCCTCAAATATCATTAAGAATGAAATATGAAATAAAAATAAAAACAAAATTTATACAAATATACACTCATTGTGCAATAATACGATTAAAAAACAAGGTTGGCAAAATTGCACATATTTTTAATTTTGTTAAGTTAATTTTTAAAAGACTAAGTAGAGAGTTATTCTACTAATTTAACTTAATTTTGACTTTTTAAAATGTTAATGCCCACTTACGATAAAAATTATCTGTCCAAACAACTCGTCAAATCGCTATTATTGTATTTAGTCGATAGATTATTTAAATATCAATACTGATACATTGAATGGTTTATTATATAATTAAATGACGGATTAGTGCACAAAGATTAGGTATTCTAAATTTCGCGTTTGAATGATTTTTTAGTCAAATTAAAAACAACTATAAAATATAGTTTGGACATTGATATGCTTAACACACGTACAAGAATTGCACAATATACAATAAGATAATGATCTTATCTGGTACCATTAGCAAAAACATTTTGATGTGAAGATGACGATGAGCAAAAATGTGTGAAGTAAGATCCGCCGGGGTGCCTGTGGGTGGATGGTGACGTTAAGTAGGCGGGTCCCTCGTCTGGACCAAAAACGTCGGAGCGTGTTGGGGTCCAACAGTCGTCTCGCCACGAATTCCCGAAACGAGCGTGTCCTGTGCTGTAATTTGAAAATCCCATGTCTTCGACGTGTTAATACTCGTATGTAAATTAACTTAATTAGAAAGTTGTAGACATGAACTTCCGTGATCAAATGTGAATCACTTTAATTACGACAAAATCTCTATAAACATAATAATCACAAGTGAGTACCATAAAAGTTGTGTTACAAACAGGAAACTGTGTATGTTATCTGTTTCAATAACACATTGTTCAACTAAAATTTAATTGATATTTTTCAGCATTATAAAATCTAATTAACCATTTCAAATCAAAGTGTAAACAAAATTATTAAGAACGTACTTAACGTTAGCCAGAAAATGTTGTTTTCAAAAAGATATTTCTATACAGAAAATAATATCACAACTATTGGAATATTTTTAGAGTAGGTTGCAATTATTTATGAATATTCTGTAGGTTACAGATAAAAATACATTGTGCTCATTGTAATTTCTTCTGGACTTATTTGGAATAATACAATCAAAGGATTATAAAATTGGCTGCGTGAAAAAAGTATCAATCTTGTTTATTTACTGTCTTCAAAAGTATTTCGTAAACGGATTGGCTTATCCTACGCATATTTCAGAATTTATTGTTTACTAACAGTTGAAAGTTACTTAGACAAAATAGAATAATATTATTGTTTTTCTCTCCAACATTAGAGCAAACGTATTTTAAATTAAATCGGATAGTTTTTTTTGCTCATCGTGTTATATAGGGAAATTTTTTTAATATAAGCCACTCGATTTCTCTTAAAATAATTATTATGTTAAAAAAGTTATTTTAGATATCTTTTTATTTTTTCTTTATTTATCAATTAATAAGTATTTTTATTTCTTATAAGGATGTCAATTTCATTTTTCTTTAATGGTAACTTACATATTTAACTAGCTTGTAAAATGAAAAATGATCTAATTAAGAAAATTACTGGTCGATAACAACATTTAAAAAAGTATCTCGAAAGTTATTAACATTTTTAATACATAAACTGGAGGTCAGACGTTCGTTATGTTTATTATTTTTATTATTAAACATTACTAAGCTACGCTCTTCTTCCACTATATATATAATATATACATATAAATGTTAGTAACTTCCGAAATACTATTTCAAATGTTGTTATCGACCAGTAATTTAATAAGATAATTTTTTATTTTATATTTATTTTTGTATATTGTAGTTAAACAAAATAAGATTGATACCTTTATGAGGTATAAGGGACAATTTAAAAAACAATTAATACATAGAGAAATACATCTAAAATTACTAATAGAAATATCTTAGTATAATTATAATTTTAAGAAAAATCGAGTGTTTATTTTTATTTACTGAAAATTTTAAAAATACCACCCTGGAAAATTTTTCAGCCACTGTTGACCATCTGATTTTGGTTGGGTGAATTTTGTGGGTTACGCTGGTCATGTGAATTATATTAATGAATTTTTATCCGTCAATTGATACATTTAACAAAATGTAGAAAAATTATAATCACTTGGTTATACTATTAAAATATATGTTTTATAAACCATAGTCAAATATAAAATTTAATAATAATTCATATTTTATACGAGGTGATTTTATTCACAAATATTTTATCTATTTGGGAAAATTTTAATAATTAAAAAAATTTTGTTTGGTGACTCATAACATAGAAATATTTTATATTTTATTTAAATAAAAATCATTAGTTTGAGAACCAGTATAGATTGGACATAAACTTAAAGATATCGAAATCTGACAATTAACATCTCAATTACAAAATGTTTCGATAGAATAATTGTATTGAACGATAGACCACAGATAAGATAACATTTAACTGTGATTATAATTATCGTGCTTGAAGAAACTTAGACAATATTCACTTTTTGTAGCTCATAATTTTAGAGCATATTTACATTATTTTAAAGTATAAACCATAGGTTGCTTAGAATATTTTTCAATTTGGTGGAAAGGTTCTAAGAACTTTCACAAAATATTTTATGCCCAAAACCTAAAACTTTTCAATTTTTTTGAGTGAGATTAATTATAAAGTAGGAAAAGGTATATTTCTCAAAATTGAACCTATATTAGAATCTAAAGTATTTATACTTTTACATGGAAACTAATAACAAACTGTATTTTTGTATTTACTATAAATTATTATTTTTTAAATCATTATTTAACAATTTTATGTAGTGGTTAGGACGTTACAATTTTTCTTTTTATACCTTTATACCTTTATAATAAATTTGGGCACATTATATTTAAATTAGTTTTATTTATTATTTTCTTATTAAAATCAGTAGTTGATTGAAAAAATCAAAATGGGGCTATTAAAATTAAAAATTAACATTTTTTTTTTTTATATATAAAATTTTGAATACAAATATAGTTATTTTAACCTAAATCGAAATTTACTCGATCTCTACAAAATAATTAATTACAGAAACAACTAATTGTTATAAGTTTTTAAAAAATGTATTTATTCTAAGATTTAATTAACATACAAATGGATGCCAAAGACAACCCTATAATAGAACATGTGAATTAATTTGAAAATGAATTTAATTTTGTAATAACTATGTTAATTTTTATTTACTCATTTGAATAATAAAAATAAAAAATATCTATTTTTAAATCATAAGCTTGTAGGCAATTCTAATGTTAAACAATAGTAGTCCGAGTTATTCTTTTGAAATATCTATTCGCTTCGCGAACGAATAACCAACTCTTAAGATAAATATCTTTGTAATAATGCCAAATTACTAAAAGGTTTTCTACCTTTATTAAATGTTTCATGGACAATAGACTAGTATGATGGTAATCCTATACTTCTCTTTTTCTAAAGATTAATTTTGTATCTAAAACTATTTTCTGAATATAGTCTTAGGCAAGTTCGTTGTTGACTGTTAGTATTTGGTAAAATATTTATACTTTTTCAATATCGCTTATCTCTATATTAAAAATTGTTTTTTCTTTCGATCAGTTTGTTTATTCTCGTTGTAAAATTACTTTTCTGTGAAAAAATGTTTTATGAAATCAATAAAATTACCTAAAAGTCAGAAGTGAATTTTCAAGTAGATGATATATTATGTATGTTGATAATAAAACTTTTATAACGGCATCACAACGACTAATGTCTGTGTCAAATTATACGGCCAAGTAGGTTTATTTTTTTATAAACCTAAGGTTGTCAATATAAAAAAATGTATTATATAAGATATTTGAATATTCTAACCCATTTCATGTAAAGTCGATTCAAAACTCACAAAAAATAACTATACAATTTAATAGAATAGTAAAATTAACTAAGTTGGCTATGAACGAGTAAATAAATTAAAATTAAGTTAAGTTTAACTTTTAAGCTTAACGAAGAAGAAAAAAAATGACAAATTATAAAACAATAACAGTAATAATACTCTTTTTGGAGAATTAAATAGTCAAAAAAAATAATCATTCTATAAACGTGAAAAAACATATTGTCTTTTCACTGAATATTATCAGACAATGAAGATTACTATCACCAATTGAATTAATGGAAAATTGACACGCTTCAAATGAAATGTTATGTTAACGACTTAAGACAATATCATATTATCTTTAGGTATCAATGGGAACTCATGTTTTTCAATGATACACTGTCCTTGGGTATTATACATATTTGAATTAATTGCCACAATATTTTTTAACATTCAATCATGAAATTGAAAATTTTAAAAGCAATTGTAATGTTATGAAATTTATTTAAATAAAATATTTTATTCTTGGTGAATATTGCAGTTTGTTAGTATTACTATTTACCATATTTGTATAAGATATACATGCTTGTACACCATCTTTTATGGCTATAAAGAAATAGTTAAGTTGGATATAGATTCAAAATGTGGGTTTTTTAATAAAGACAATCATTTGGAATATTCATTAGGAATCATTTACGATATTTTTTGAAAATTGATATCGTTTCAATTTTTTGGATATTTTGTCACAATATGGAAAATAATTCGATGTTAATATCACAATAAATTAATTATCGTTTTTTAAATAATTATATTATAATCATTTTGGTATCACACTTAAATTAATCATGCAAATTTCAACCTATAAGAGAAACTTTAGAATTATAAATGATGAATTTATAGAAGAGATATTCTTTGTTTTATGATTCATAAAGATAATACAGATTATAAGAAAAAATGTCTGCAAAAATTGATTGTTCTTATACATTGTAGATACGAAACGTATGCCATAGTTAAGATTCAATTCTATTATTAAAACTATTCACCCCACGTTGGTGTCCAAGATCACAAATAAAAAAACAAGCGTTGATAAGCATAAAGTGAACTATCTTCATTGGCGCCAACTACTAAACTTTAGTATTACAGATCCAATCATTTTTATAGATGACATCTATAAAAATTATATATTATAAATGTGCGCCAATGACTATGTAGAATTAATAGTCAATTTATTCAAGAAATCACATAATGTCGATGTTCAAAATAAATGATTCAGAATTAATGCAATATTGAAATAGACATAAGTAAATTTAAAATCAAACTAAATATTCTAATTTTGACAAGCCTATTTAAATCGATATCCAAAATATCGTGATGTTGAAATGTAATATTAATGTCTGTGACATCACAACATATCAATATAATATCGAAATTTTATCGATATTTGATAATCAATGACGATCCTTTTTATAATTTAGTTATTTATAAAGTAATTATTAGTTTTATTATATTTCAAAACACCTAAAATTGCAGACTTTTTTAGTTGGAACTTTTTGTACAACAATACGTTAACACAAAATTTTATAAGTTTAAATATAATGTTTGAAATTTTCATTATTGATACTCTGTATTATCAATAAATAATTTTATTTACATATTTCCTACTTTTTGTTATCTTTTGTTACCTATTTGTAAAACAAGTAAAGTTTTCTATTTAATAAAACAAAAGTTTAAAATAATATTCTTCTTTCAATGAATATATTATTTTTTTAATAATTTAAATAAGAATACCATTTCAAGATTAAAGTTAATTGAACCTACGCTATTGCTTTTTTTTTTGTAAAATTTCATACAAATTAAAAATCTGGATTAAAGAACAGAATAGTTGCAATTACAAATAATCTTTAGAAATACCAATCTTATTTATACG